CCCACCGCGCGCCCTGACATGCTGCCCAAGGCCGGGTTCCTTCCCCCACCCGGGCATTTCGTCTCCTTTTTCATTAGAGACTCAGGTGTGACCACGCACTCCAGCCGCACCCCTCTTTCCTTCCAGGGCTGGAAGGAGGAGAGGGATGTAACATAACTCTCATTTTTACAACGCGCTGCAGTCTACAGAGCGCTCGCACTTCCATCATCTGCTCCGAGCTTGGCGAGGGCCACGTGAGAGAGGCATCCATTCATTCACTCATCAAACATTTGCTCGGCCAGACCACACGTTATCCAGCGCCGGGTCTCACCCCGCGCCACGGGAAGGGTGGGGCGCTCTCTCCCCGGAGCAGGTGCGGCGCACCAGGCCGTGGGACAACTCCACGGTCGGTCAGGCTTTCCGCGGGCTTGTCTGGGGCCACGTGCCTCACCTTCGGGTGGCGCGCGCAGGAGCCTGAACGCGCGGCCAGGGCCTCCTCCTTGCTCCCCAGGGAGCAGTCCCCACCGGCCCAGGAGGAAACTGCTACCCAGCAAGCTCTCCCGGCCGCCCTCGGGTCAGGGGTAACATCAGGCGGCCGCTTAGACTCCACTCGGCTCCTCCCCTTCCTCTTCAGTTCTGACGCGGCCGTAGAGGCGGCGGCGGCAGCGGCAGCGGCGGCGGCGGCGGCGGCTGCGAGTCCCGCGGCCCGAGGCGCACCCACCCGCTCGCCGATCCCCGACTTCCTCTTCCCTCGGAGCGTCATCAGAGCGCGTCCGAGTTGCCCAGGGCGGGGTGGTTGGAAAGGGGAAAAGGCCAGTGGAGGAAGCCTCGGCGCGCAGAGCGAAGGGCGGGGGGAGGAGAGCGGTTGCTAGGCGACTTGCGTCATCACCAGGCGCCGCGCTCCTCCCGCCCCTCTCTGGAGTGAGGCGAGAGCCCCGCACAGAGCGAGGAGACAGCGAGCTGAGCTCCGGGCGCCGCCGCCGCCGCCGCGAGAGTGAGAGCGGAGAAACATCCGAGAGAGCCAGCCCCCCTGCCCTGGCCACCGCAGAGACCCTCGCCCACACCTGGGCCAGTGGGAGCCGCAGCCGCACTCCTCTCCCCCCCTCACCTTCCCGGCCGGCAGCGGCGGCTGCACACGCCGGAGCCGGAGCCCTTAGCCGGAGCCGGCGGCTGGGGGGCAGGGAGGCGGCGACCGCGGCCGGGACTGGGTAGCTGCTCCGCGGTGAGAAGACGCTGAGGAGGGGCCGGAGGTTCTGCCTCTTCCCGCGGCGTGGGGCGAGGGACCCCCGAGGTGTGGGGAGGGGGTCCCA